CATCACTCCTTGAGGTGATTTAAACTTCACAGATCATGCAAGTGGAATATAAGGTCAAAGTTCATTTTAAAATGGAGGGAAAATAACCCAAACAGGAAACTATTATAAATAAAGATATAAAAACATGCATGGATAAGTTGATCAAAAGAATTTGAATTTCATATATATATATATATATATATATATATATATATATACATGTACATAGAAATTTATACAACAGGGTTTAGAGTGTTTTTGTATTTGTAGTAGTAACATGGCTGCAGCAGAAAGGAAGTTGAATTCAAACTTAAAGTAGCTGTTTTTTGACAATTAGATATGTGCATTGATTTCATAAACTGAAGCCGGTTGTAGAATCAAATACACCTTTCTTTAAGGCATGCTCTCGGTGACTAAGAATTTCCATAATGTCATATAGATGGGTGGTTGTTAATGTTGTTCAATAATTGTGGTTGAATTTGTAGTAGTTCATCATTAACGGGAGTCGTCATGCGATGCATACGCAAGATATGGGTCTCATATAAACAAAGATGGCGATTTTACCTGTATAAACTGAGAGGTTACCAAGCTTAAATTAAGTATTTTGTGTTGATGTTTGAAAGGTATCCAAAGATTCGCCGGCGATAATAAGTGCAAGTGGCACCTAAGGCAAAACTCGTACTTGTAATTTCATTAGAAAAGTACATTGGATTATAGGAAAATCAATGTTTATCAAAACAAATGTCACACATGTGCGTGACGACTACCGCCTTTTAAGGATATACAGTGTACGACATGAATTTTGTGAGAAACAATTTTTTTACGAATTGATGAAAATCACGAAAATTCCAAAGCAATGAAAATTTTTCTGGGGTCCTATGACACAGAGAGTCTGCCATTTCCGCAAAATATCATAAAACTACATACATTCCTAGCAGCAAAAATGAAAAAGTTTACTGTAGAAAATCTCTAAAAACAGTATTTCTGTTATTGATGGATGACTACAGTATTGATGACAAGCTGTCTCATTCATCAAAAAAGGTCAAAGAAAGTTGTACTGTGCACATCTACGACAAATACACACATCAAGACACAACCTTATTTTCAAAACATCACTAAGGGAATGTGATCTTTTAAAAAGCATTCCAACCTTACTTGTAATAATGCAAGTAGAATCCTAATTGAGTGCCTACAAGTCGATACACTGTATTAAGCTGCATATCACATACTGTGGCAAATATGATAGTACTGAAAATACTATAATACACATCACATTTTGGATTCAAACCACACAATAATCAAACCAGCTCCGACAGTCAAAAATACAAAAAAACACAATACACAAAGCTGACAATACCACTCATACACTGTACTTATCCTACACAAACTTTTTAAACTAAAATACATAACTCGTTTTTTAAAATTTTATATAAAAGTACAATTAATTTTATCAGTTGACAATTAAAATAGAAGAAGCATTACTCTAAGAACATATTTTGGCATAATCACAAAGTTAATAATGCTATCAACAATAACTCTTTAAGTAAAAAAAAAAATATGACACAAAGAGCACCATCAATGTTTAGTACCAACAATTCTTGTGTTTTTATGCGAATAATTGCAACATTTTAAAATTCTAGTTGCTGTCACTTTTTTAAGTTTAACAATTTTAATGCTATGTAGTTATAATATTACACTGACCCAGTACTGTTAGCCTGAATTCTGACATAGGTACCTGGTAGTTAATAATCAGAATTGTATTTCTTGTCTTCTTCAATCTCATATTTATTACACAAATTTATCTTTAAATAGAGCCTTCATATCAGCAAGAGCCTTGAAGATTTTATCTACAAACTTTTGTGAATCCGTTTGTGGGCATGACTTTTTTGATGACACATGAAAGAAAAAGCGGCTGTCCTCTGGTATCATATAGGAAACACCGTACCCAGTGTCAGATACTGGACCAAAACCACCTCCTGGAGATGCCTAAAATAAAATAACAAATTTAATTAAACATACTATGCACAGGGGTGCACAATTTCTGTATTTTTCAAAGGCCTTTCTTTAGTTTAAAATGTTGTTATAATTTAAGAAAATTATATCAAAACATTCACAAGAAGTCATGAGAGTTTGTTGGTTTATATTTCAAAATTTCTGGAGAAATTGCACCATATTTCACTACTTCACTAACAAGCAGAATGGCCACAGAACATACAGAGGGAGTGCATCAAGCATAAAATTACTACAGAAGCCTTGCTTAGTTATATATTTGTATTCTGCAATATATCAACAACAGTCCCACATTAGGCAATCCACATTTTTTTTATTGTGATGAATATATAAACACAAGATATTTTCTCTAATCTGACAACAGCAGATACTTGTGATTATCGCCAGGGTTTTGTATAAATCCAAGTTGTATTTAGTGAGATTAATAGTTTAATTACAACTAAATCACAATAGAAATACAGCCTGTGTGTAATGTACAGCAGTGAGACAATAGACTGACATGTATAAGGCACTCAAGAATCTGTAATCCCCACCAAAAAAAGGAAAGTTCTCTAAGTAGAATTTGTTTATTCTTTTTATTTATTTATTTATTTATTTATTTATTTATTTATTTATTTATTTATTTATTTATTTATTTGTGCAATTTCTACCTTTAATGTTTTTTTTGGTGAAATAAATTTTTCATTCATTCACTTACACTATGATAAGGTTATTCCCAGATACTTGTGTGTAGAGTGTGTGTGGTTAGTGACAACATGTGTTAGTATTATTCATAAACTGAAAAATACATCACTTAATGCGCCATGAGATATCAACCAACTATACAAATAAGTAATAACAGGTGATGACCTTCTTATCATATGACCAACTCAGAGCACAAAATAAAGAAAGAAATTGTCAATTACTTAAGTACGCTTACAAATCATTTAAGTATGATGTCTAAGCGAGCTGGTGGAAGCAGTTTTGCAATCATGGCTGTTAATTGCTATCGATAATTGACAGAAATACTACCATTCTATTTAAATATTTTTAAAATAATAGTTTGTGTCATTAGACTATTCAAGTGATCCGAAATCATCGTATCACGACAGTGAATGTGATACAGTTGCTCAATTTGGTTGAAATGATGATGTTTAATGTGTATATTGTGATGTTTATCGCACCAAATCAGCTAGTGATACTTCACAGTGAACATCACTGGTCATAGTCATGGTGCCAATCAAAAGACAAAACATTCTTACCATATCTCTGTAACATGGCAGACCAACTGAAGGATTACCAGCCATTTGCTGTTGTGGTTGTTGACTTGTTGACAATGTCCATGGTAAAGTCAAAGCAGTGTGCAGAAAGTCACTTTCCTACAAGCAAAATATAGAAAATATTGATTCTTGGTAAATGCAGCTCAACTATCAGAATTTGCCCTAAGGGAGTTCGCGCACTAATCCAATTTTTGCACCACTGAGCTTCACTTGCATGCAGTCGCTTGTTTGGTCTTTGATGTTTTGCAATAAAATAAAATATTATATGAGTAAATAAATGACGAAAACTGTGTTACCACTTAACACAAGAGGCATGTGCTATGAATATTAATAAGCATTTCTAAGACGTCACAAATTGGCTTAATTTACATACTGCTGGATTTCATGGGCGAGCATACATACATACAAGTTTATATTCTTTCAAGATGACCATGAATTGTAGATAAGTGATTGTGAATATGCCGGCATCACAACTGTTGTATCCCCGAAGATCCGAGAATGCATTTGCATTGTACGTGTGTCAAATCGGATAACATAGAAGAATGTTAAAAGCTGACCAGAAGACACTTGCCTGTCAAGAAATTGAGCTGGCAGTCAGTGATATGATCACTGGTATCAAAAGTTGTAACCATGTTGTTGCTATTTATACACTCACAATATATTTTATTTTATTGAGAAAACACCAAAAACAAGTCATTGTCAATGACACGTCTCCGTTCCGTTCATATTTGAGTGACATATACATTCAAAGCAGATCATGACCGAAATGCACCTGCATATGTACAACACATTGTTCTAAATCTGAACAAAATCCATCCATGCATGACTGAGATCAGGTTCCGGAATTGTGAAAATACGTGATTTTGATGCATTTTCAGCCTTAAAATGGCCATCATTCAGCTATTGTTAAGCGGATCATGAAACAAATGCACATATCTATTTGTGACATGATGTACCATGTGTGTGTGAAGTTTGAACTTGATCAATCCAGACATGTCTTGGATACAGATCCAGAACTGAATTTATTAAAACAAAATGGCCGCCAGTCGGCCATTTCGAACTTGATTCCGAAAAAAAAAAGACGTGCATCAAGGTCCTATTATGTTCAATGTATGTA